TTCTTCCATACATCTGAGCTTGGGGTCTCTGAAGTGATGTCAGATACATATTTTTGCCAAGAATTTCTTTGGCCTGCTAACATCAATCTCCGTGCTCTAGCTCTGGCTTGTTTGAATTTCATCATATTTGCCAGAGTTGGGTTTCTTTTGAAGACATTGTAGTTATGCTTTTTGCCTTTAATGGCTTCTTCAATTTGTTGATCCCACCAGGGTACTATAGGTTTACCAGGTTGTATGTTTGCTTTAGGGATGCTTTCGGAAGCAGCATTCAATATACTGTCAGTAACGTTGCTGACGGTTTCAGATATTGAATCACCTATTCGCATTGGAGTCAAATGTTCTCGAAATTTCTCCCAATTTGCCTTTTTAACATTCCACCTTTCTGCAAGTGGAACACTTGTATTTTGTACGGCACAGTTAAGTAGTATTGGGAGATGGTCAGATGAGTGATCATCTAAAACTTCCCAATCAAAGAGATATGATACACTTGGGCTACAAAGTGCCAAGTCTATCGCACTGTAGTTGCACGACCTAGAGTTAAGAAATGTTCCTTCGCCTTTATTCAGCACCATTAAATTTGCTTCGTTAATTATATCTTCCACTATCCTCCCTCTGGTGTCCAGTTTTTTGTGAGCCCCAAAAAGGGTTATGCGAGTTAAAATCTCCTACTAAGAGAAAGGGTTTGGGAAGCTGTTCACATATGGTTTTCAATTGATTATATTCCCAGTTTTGATTGGGTAGGTATATGTTGCATATGGTCAATTTTATAGGTACTATTAGTTGAACAGCAACAACCTGAAGCTCGGATGTGATGTTGACCTCTGTAAAGGGGATATTTACATCCAGAAATATTGCCACGCCGCCCTTGGCACGGATTTGCGGCGTATCATCCTTTCTTACACATTTGAACCCACGTAGCTGAAATTTCGTGGTTGGAGAGAAATGGGTCTCTTGAAGACAGAGACAAAAGGGCTTTTTCTCCTGCATGAGTAGTTTCAGTTCTGGATAGTGATTAACACACCCATTAATATTCCACTGGACGATGGATTGCATGAGTAGAGTAGATTTATTTTATACACGCAAGGTTCAGGAGAAGATTAAGGATATTTACATATGTATATAGATGATGAGAGATAAATAAGCAAATAGGTGAGGGACTAAATAAATAAATAAATATATATAAATAGACAAATAAATAAGTAAATAAATTAATGAATAAACAAGTAAATAAATTGAAAAGTACATTATAAGTTTATCAAAATATCACAGTTAATTTTATCACAGAAGTATCACAGTCTCCGACAACTGCTCAGTTTCGGAGTTCTGTTGATTGGGACGCTCTGTATCATCACTCTGAACGGGTTGTTCCGACTGAAACAGTGCGGTTTTATTTGTTTTACGAGGTCTGCCTTTTTTCCAGCCTCGTGTACCCTTTTTTGCTTCTGGATCGTCAGTCTGAGACGAGGTGAGACTTTCATCAGAAAGTTCCGATCCATCTACAGGAGATGTAGCTTTTCTTTTAGACGAGTTAGAAGCATCTGATTGACTTCTAGTTCTAGACGCAATCCCATGACTTATCTTTGGCAATGGAGCGACAAATTGCTGGGGTGTGCTGCTGCATACTGCTTTGTTTTCTATGGCTTGCGAGATCGACGTTCTAATTATAGCTGTTAGACGTGGTATAATCTTCTCTATTATTTCATCGTCTGGGCGCTTCTGAGATGCTTGTGCATATGATAAATTTGCTTGCGGGGTAGGGATTACTACCTTCCTTCTAGCTTCAGCATAACTCATTTTCTCGATAGTAATAACTTTCTGTATAGCTGATTCTGTCTTATACCTTGGACATAATTTGGAGTTTGCTGCGTGAGGACCATTGCAGTTCACACACTTTATGGCTGATCACAAGATTTTCCAGTGTGTATTTTCTTACCGCAAATGCAGATTTGTTCCTCTTGGCATGATATCGAGGTATGGCCGTACCGTTGACATTTGAAACAGCGTACAGGGGGTGGGATATATTGACGAACAGGTAGTTTGTACATCGCGCAACTAAGTCTCTGTGGTATGTTCGGAGAATTGAATGTAATTATGTGGCCTGGAGTGTCTTGTAGTTCATTATCCTTCTTTACTTTTATACGTTGTACCTTTATTACTCCTTCAGATTTTAGCTCATCCATAATTTCAGCTTCGGAACAGTTTAATAAATCCCTGCAGTAGATTACGCCTCTGCTAGAATTCAGAGAGGCATGTGGTTCAGCGGTAACAGGAAAACTAGCAAAACTTTCTACCTTCAACAATCGATATGTTTGACCATCTGTTCTTGTTTCAACTAGCAGCCCAGCTTTAATTTTCTTCACAGAATTGGATTCTCCAATCAAGCCGCATAACGTCTTTGATATCAGAAATGGACTAACTTTCATGAAATTATCGCCATCTATTCTCTTTATTACCAGGAATCTGGGGTAGGACCAGCCGACCCCTTGGTAATATTACTGTGTCCAGTGGTAGCTCTGCATGTAGCTCCACCTTCGCTGTTTTTGCCTACATTTGAGGAGGTAGGCGCACCTTTTGTTTTTACTTTGTCTCCCATAGTATTGTGTTTGTCTTCACCTCCCCGGCTCCCCACCCTCCACGGAGCCTCAATGGGAGGTTATGCCCATAATCGCCTTCCGCTAGGACATAACCCCAGGGATACCGTTAATCCTAGGAAAAGGAGGTATAGTCCCCACAGGTAGCTCCACCATACATCGAGCATAGCGAACTATTCCCGTCTGGCTTCTACTACCTGTGGAGGCTCGCCCAACCAGCCCTCTGACGGGATGGCACAGCCGATTGACCGACGCTGGGCTAGGCGCGGCCGCCCTTCTAGACTGACCGCCGGACCAAAGTGGCGTGTTGCCCCCCTGACTGGTAGGGCTCAACCACCAGGATTCCATTGGCCAGCTTACGGGTCGCCGGGCACGGCACAAACACCCGGGAGGCTAAGAGGAAGCTCCACGCGCCGCCTCAACGCATGGAGTAAGGAAAGGACAAGGAAAGTCGGGAGGGCAGCGGACAGCTGCACAGGATATAATGAAAGGAGAAGGATGGGAGAAAGGGGGAAGGAAAAGCCCAGGGTTTGGCAGAATGCATAAGACTACCAAACCCCGAACTCCCTGCCTGGGGCCGTGGGGGCGACGCTCCCCATGTATCTTCCCTTGAAAGTGGATCAAAGATCCAGCTTCAAAAGTAGATACCCCCTGCGGGGGTTATTATTATTATTATTATTATTATTATTATTTTTTTTTTCATGCTCATAGTCCTCACGTATGGTGGTGTACTATCTTTGAGGGGGAGTTCACCCCAACCAAGGATAGTTTTTACAGAGACAGTGCCTTTCTCACAATATGACACGTTTGTAAGATAACGGCTTTTTGAATAGTATGTGAAGGCCGTTTGGAAGGTCCAAGGTCTTTAAGCTTGAAGAGACTTGTTTGGTAACAGCCCCTTCCACGGAGATAACAATGGGTACAATCTGCACTTCCCTTAGCTTCCAAATCCTCTTCATTTCAATCGCCAGGTTCTGGTATTTAACAGATTTTTCACGCTCTACCTTGAGGATGTTGTGTGTAAGCGGAATTCCAACCTCAATTATCTGTGCACATTGGTTGCTTTTGTCTATCAGGACAATATCGGGACGGTTAAAGTCTACAGTTTTGTCGGTTAGAAATGGCCGATCCCAATAGAGTATTACATCTTTTGATTCCAGAACTGGCTCAGGCGTGTACTTGTAATATGGCGGAGGAGATTGTACCAAGTTAAGTTTACGAGCTAGCTGTGAATGGATTATTTTTGCAACCTGGTTGTGTCTTCCCAAATAATCGCCAGCTGCCAACGCAGGGCAAGCTCCAGTAATATGTTCGATGGTTTCGCCCGCCTGGTTGCACTTCCTACATTCATCTGGGACGTTGGATTTGAGAATATGTTTTTCATAGTTTTTTGTTTTTATTACTTTGTCCTGGATGGCAGTTATGAACCCTTCCGTTGTTGGATGGAGATATCCCTTTCTCAAATAGGTGAATGACAAAGCTTTATCTATGTTGTCACCTCTCAGTTGGCATGGGTAACGGCCATGGAGAATTTTCTCCTCCCAGCATTCTCTCCTACTAGTATTCGATTCCGAGGCCGTATTTGCTTGAGGTTGCCGAAAGCTCAAAGGGGTAAATGAGTCATCTGCCTCCACTACAGCAGCTATCTTAGGACTTAGATGGTTATGAAAGTAATTTTGTAATTTGGCTATCTGAGACTTGCAGAGTTGTGTTATGTTGAGCAATCCGCGGCCCCTTGTGCGCGAGGGAGGTACAGCCGTTTGGTTGATGCCTTTGGGTGGGGACAGTGGAACTTTGTGAGCTTTATACGAGTGATTCTGTCTAGCTCTTCAAGGTCTGTATTACTCCATTTCACAATACCGAACGAATATGTAAGTGAACTTATTGCCCAACTGTTGATTGCTTTGAAAAGATTCTGCGAGTTTAATTTGGTGTTGAGTAGTTTTGTAAGCCGACGGATGTACTTTTCTCTATAGATTGACTTCATGGTAGAATGACACACACCCCTACTTTGGTGCATCCCCAGGTACTTATACGGTTGGTCTTCTGCTAGAGGCGCGATGTTTTCTAAATTTTCTTCCAAAAGAGTTAGGTTACCTTTCCTTATAGTGACAGTGGCGCACTTATCTAACCCAAATTTCATTCCTATATCATTGCTGAATATACTTGTCGTTCGCACTAGAGAAGCAAGATGTTGCCTTGACTCGGCGTATAGTTTGAGGTCATCCATATACAGCAGATGGTTGAATCTGGTAGGCTCACTCACATCGAGCCTATACCCGAACTTGGAATTATTCAGCAGTGATGACAGTGGGTTCAGGGCTAGACAGAACCACATCGGGCTGAGAGAATCACCCTGAAATATGCCTCTGCGTATGCGCACGTCTCCTATGTCCTCCGAATTAACTCTTAAAGAGGTTCCCAGTTCATCATCAGATGGGACAATAGGTTTATGATGCGGATGTCTACTTTATATATATCCAGCACCTTTAAAAGCCAATTATGTGGCACGGAATCAAACGCCTTAGAGTAGTCGATGTAGCAGACATGGAGATTTCTCTTATTTTTACACGCATGCTTCGTAATAACGGAATCAATTATAAGTTGCTCTTTGCATCCGAAAGAACCACGGACACACCCCTTCTGTTCTGTAGCAATGATATTGTTGCTTTCACAGTGAGTATATATTTGGTCATTCAAAAGTGCTGTTAGTAGTTTATAAAACACAGAGAGACATGTAATTGGTCTAGAGTTTTTCGGATCTTCAGGATTGCCGTTTTTAAATATAATATGTGTTATTCCTTTCGTCAAGAAGTTAGGTAATATCTCCGGGTTGGTGATTGCTTTAGAAAGTGATCGACCCAATGCAGCATGTGTGCTTAGGAACTTCTTGAGCCAAAAGTTCTGAATATTGTCGGGTCCCGGCGCTTTCCAATCAGCAGCATTTTTTAGCACTCTACTTACGTCATCTTGAGAGAATATTGCAACGCTCATTGGGTTTACCTTAGCTGCCTTCACTACCTCTTTGATCCAAGGCGCATTAAGGTCTGATGGCTTTGGTTCGGACCAAATATCACTCCAAAATTTAACAAAATTTTGCGTATCTCTAATGCCTTTGGGTTCCGAAGATGATTCTGGGATGATAGATCTGTAGAACTGGTTTTGGTTTCTCTCGAACAAAGCATTTTGCTGCTTTCTCTTGCTGGTCTCATTATATCTTTGGAGCCGGGCACCTTTCATTTTGGCTTCTTGCCTCATTTTATCTCTATGCAGGTTTAAAAATGAGCTATCGATATCGCAGCTGGGGGGTACGTTAATTTTCCGTTTAATATCTGCAATTTTCTTGATCACCTTTCGGGACCTATTGCCTCCTTGGTATTCTGAAATGAGATCCGCCTCAGCTCTACATGAGTCAATATCTTTCATGAGTCTTAGTTTCCATGGCTCCTCACTACGTTTCGATGTCTTTTTAAGAGGCGCGTCATTAGGTGGTAGTAACTTTTGACCATTCACGTTCACCACAGTAGCAGCTGCCGCATAGATAGATAGATGTACTTCTTCTAAGTCATCACAGTGTTCTAGGTGGCGTAAAAGAATTTCGTCCATCTGATGTATTATTTGATTGGATTTTGCATTTAGTAGAAGCTTTGGGAGCCTAGGCCTTTTTGTGGGGTCACTAAATCGGTAGAAGCTTAAGGTGCTTAGAAAAAGATCATTCAGCTCTTTTTGCTTTTGGCTAGTTACGCATTCAGGTTCGATATGCGGTTGATCCAGAACCGACAAACGTGTAGGGGCTACTTCATCGTTTATGGCATTTTGGGATATCGCTCTACCAACTTCACGTTTCAATTCATCCGTTTCGGTCTGGGTTAGATAACCGTTATTCACAATAGTCCTTTTTCTATCAACGATATTTTGCTCAGTTAATCCAAGTTCCGGGTGAATCTTTGAAAACTCTGTGTGGAGCTTACGTCTCCAACCTGTTTGTGGTAGGTCTTTGCAGTCATTAACGAGATAAAATGCTTTCATTACAGAAATGTTTAGCTCTCTAGTCCATTTTATACGTTGACCGCTACGTTTATTGGCCGCAGCATTCCGGGTGCCGGTGTGCAAACGGCAAATCTGTGTGACCTCGTCTGTTAATTCCACAGGATGTTCATCTTCATCGGTGGACCTATAATGTCGATCCCATGTATTTGGAGGATTTCGCATGATGACGACCTGGGTTACCTCCGAGGCTACAACCGGGGTAGCAACCTCACCCCTGCCGAGCGCGACACCACTACCGCTGGGGCTTGTGGTGTCGTTAACGCTGTTACGTTCTTCCGAGGCTAAATTAAAGTTGTTCTCCATAATTATTATGGGTGCGTTGTATCCCTTTTTTTTAATCTCTAAGAGTCGGAATGCGCATTCAGCGCATAGATATCGCTCAGCGCCAGCGGAAGGGAAACAAAAACCAACTGATGCTCAAGAAGGATTGCTGGCTGTACCGTCTATCCTTGGTGTTATTGCGGTAGCGGGTCTGACACTGCTGGTAGCAGTGCCCTTACCGGCCTGACATTATTATTATTATTATTATTATTATTATTATTATTATTATTATTATTATTATTATTATTATTATTATTATTATTATTATTATTATTATTATTATTATTATTATTATTATTATTATTATTATTATTATTATTATTATTATTATTATTATTCCGTTTTCTGTTAGCTATTCTCTGCTACTGCAGGTGGTATCCTCAAACGCGGCATTATACTGCAAGCGTCTGAGTGTGACTATTGGTTTCTCTTTGTCTATGTGGCTACATTCAGGACCTTGCGTGCTATATGACAACTACCTAAGATAGCAGCTTTCTGAAGTGAGAGGTATAGTTTCTGCGGCAGATTTAGTTTCTCAATATATTTATGTAGACTCTTAGGTATTTCTCCTGTGGCTCCGATCACTATTGGGATGACTTCAACTTTTTCTTGATTCCACAGTGTTTTTACTTCTGCAGCTAGTGGTAAATACTTGCGAACCTTTTCTGTCTGCTTCTCAGCTATGTTATGTGGGGAAGGCACACTAATGTCAATTATGCAGGTAACTTGCTTCATTTTATCTTGAACTACGATATCTGGTTTGTTGTATTCCATGGTGTGATCTGTTTGAATTGTTCTATTCCAGTATATTTTATGGCTGTTAGTTTCTATAACTGGAGTCGGCTGGTACTTGTAATATGCGGTGCGGTCAGTTAGTATGTTCGCAGCATAACAAATTTCTTGGTGAACTATTTTAGCCACGTTGTCGTGGCGCTTCAGATACTCAGTGGAAGCTAGGGGAGTGCAGCTCGTCAGTATATGCTCTATTGTTTCCGACTTGTTATGGCATATACGACATCTATCTTCAATGCCTTCTTCTTTCATGATGTATTTTCTATAGTTTAAGGTTGGTATCACCTGATCTTGAATGCCAATCATGAAACCTTCAGTTTCCGAAAATAGCTCCCCACTCTTCAGCCATCCATGTGACGCTTCTGCATCAATGTGATCTGAGCTGAGCATGGCTGGATGTCTTCCATGAAGCTGTTTGGACTTCCATTGATGATACCATTGTTCGTCGGTGGTCACATGGGTTAGAGGTTCATACTGTTCATCCGACAGGTTCAGTGGTGTGAACTTGTAGTCAGCTGAAGCTATATTTCTGTGATATGCAGATGTTTCGCCCTTTCTATAAAAGAATCTCCTGAGGTTTTCTATATTCCGCAGGTTAGCTGCTTTAAGGTCAATCACGCCTCGTCCCCCTTTGGATCTTGGCAAGTAGAATCTTTCGATCGAACTCTTGGGATGTCTTGCTCTATGATTTGTAAATAAGACTCTTATGTTTCTGTTTAGCTGCTCTAAGTCAGAGTCTGTCCACTTGATTATTCCGAAGCTATATGTTATTGTCGGAATAGCATATGTGTTAATGGCCCTTACTTTGTGTATTGCGGACAGATGAGTCTTAAGTATTGATTTGACCCTACTCGTTAATCTTTGCTTTAGAGCTTCTTTCATATCTTTGTGTTTGATACCCCTTGCTTGATCTAGTCCCAAATATGTATAGCTAGCTCTCTTTCTCAGACATGCTTCTTATTGTCTGACCCTGCTCCAACATAAACCCTGGGTGATCTTCCCATATGCCTTTTCTAATAGCCCCAATCTTACACTTGTCCAGGCCAAACTCCATTCTTGTGTCAGCACTCTATTTCTTTATGGTTTTAAGCAACCTGTCCAGTCCATCCTTAGTGGCAGATATTAGTTTGATGTCATCCATGTAAGCTAGATGGCTTATTTGTAGGTTGTTCTGAAGCTTATAACCTTCGTTCTTCTTGTGCAGCATTCTAGATAGAGGTGCTAATACAATACAGTACCATAAAGCACTTAGTGCATCTCCCTGGAAGATACCTCTTTTAATGCTGATGGCACCGATGTTGATATTTTCTTCTTTATGGGTTATTACAAGATTAGTTTTCCATTGAGGCATAAGGTTTTGCAGCAATCTCACTATACTAGGGCTGATTTTATATATTTGGAGCATTTCAATTAATAGAGAGTGAGGAACACTGTCAAAGGCCTTTTTATAGTCAATGTATGCAACATACAGATCTTTCTTACAGCCCTTTGCTTCCTCCGTGATGATTGTATCTATTGTAAGTTGCTCTTTGCAGCCACGACTTCCCTTTTTGCAGCCTTTCTGTTCTTCTGGGAGCAGATGATGCCTTTCAAGGTGCTGGTAAATTTTATCGCATAAAATTGAAGTAATTATTTTATATATGGTTGGAAGACACGTAATTGGCCTGTATTTTGATGGGTCGCTCACAGAAGGGAATGTTTTAGGAAGCAAGTAGGTGTTTCCCGTTGTCAGAAATGCTGGAATGGATTCTGGATCTTGCAAGAGGCTTGTGCAAATCATCGCTAACGTTTCGTGTGTGCAAGTGAACTTTTTAAGCCAATAGTTATGGATGCCATCAGGTCCAGGCGCCTTCCAGTTCTGCGTGTTGTTTATAGATCTTTTAACATCCTCCACAGTTATGACGTTGTAGTGCATCATGGGTATTTTTTCGGTTTTCCTCTTTTCGTCCGCGAGCCAACTTGTTTTATTATTATGAGTCTTAGGGTTCTCCCATAGGTCAGCCCAATATGTTAATGCATCTCTAGCTTCTGGAGTTTTACCCGTAGTACTTACATCTTCGTTTTCCAGTGAGCGATAGAACCTCTTTTGATTCGTTCGAAATATGCTATTTTGTAGTTTTCTTTGATGCGACTCTTTATATCGCTTTAGGCGATTTGCGTATACAGACAACCTTTGTTGGAGCTTATCGAGGATCTGTGTCGGATTTTGATTATCCTCATCATGATGTCTCTGGGTTATTGTTGTGACTTTAATTCGCAACCGGTTGGACGGGGCATCTGACTTGATGTACTGAACAAGGGGGCCTATAGCTGCTCGTAGATCTTTTATTTTCCCTTCGATCCTCATCTGCCATCTGGGTTTTTGTTCAGTATGCTTGTATGATTGCTTTATCTTTTGATGGTGCAGTTCAATCACAGTATAAGCGCCGGCATAGATTAGGTCATGATAATCAGTTATACCGGTTATGTCACACAACTTGGTCGTCATGAGATGATTTACTCTATTCAAGATATGAACAGTATTCTTATTTGTTCTCAACCGAGGCAGTCTTGGTCTCAGAAAAGGATCTATGCCTTTGAACAGTATTAAATTCCTTTCAAAACATGTTTTCTCTTCAGTTTCTATCTGCCTTATATTTGTGCTTTCACTGCTGGTATTTGCTGTATCCTCCAGCTCGCGTGATGGTTCAGCCTGTCCTATTCCGAGTTCCATCTCCACTTCTCTTCGTATCCGGTTCACTTTATCTATCGATATCCTGTTCGTCGTAAAGAGATGTCGTCGTTGGTCCAATATGTTCTGACGTGTTTTACTTGCTAGATCAGGAAACCTTCCAATCATGGTTTGGTAGAGTTCGACGCTATAGGGGTCCTTTGATGTTTCCATTTTGGTGATTTTGAGGTAGGTACGGTAGAGGTATTCATTCATTTCATCACTCCATTTCATCCGTTTCCTACGACTATTATCCTCTTGAGTGGGACGAGCAATTTGCTCGGCAACACTTTCAGAGCTTCGATGTAATCGTTGTTCCATTTCCATCGCCTGTGTGGTGGTAGGTCCAATCCTCGGGTCAGTGCCACCTACTTCACTCGATCCCAAGACAGGCATAGCCTCCTGACGCTTCCGAACAGAGTCAGCCTGATTCTCTGCCACGCCCAAAACTGTATTCCTTCTCGTCTTTACAGCGGTTAGAATCACGTTCTACGGGGTGCTAACCCATAGAGCGGTAATGCTAGTTTTTGTCCACCCCGGGTATTTAATTTCCCCGGTACCCTCCATATCTGGAGAGCGTTTCCCAATTCGCACAGGGAGGCGCCCGATGGGAGACTAGCAACTCCACGCGGAGTATTATTATTATTATTATTATTATTATTATTATTATTATTATTATTATTATTATTATTATTTATACTATTTTACTCCTCTGTCGAAGGTATTAATATTTCCCTCAGGCGGTTAGCCAAAGTAAGGAAATAGATCTGCAGCGGTCTTTTCACCGTATCCGGTTCTCATCTCCTAAAACCCTACGTACTGTCCTACATGTTCCCAGCAGTGCAGCTTTTTGCAGTTGCAAGTATATTTTTGGATGGAGCTGTAGCTTTTCCAGACTCTTGTGTAGTTTCCTTGGTATCTCTCCAGTAGCTCCTATTATAACTGGTATTATAGACACATTGCCCATTTCCCACATGCGTTTGATTTCGTCGGAGAGTGGCAAATACTTATTGATTTTTTCCGCATGGGTGGTTTGGATATTAGTAGGAAGAGGCACAGCTATGTCTATTATAAACGTCGTTCTTTCTTCTTTTAGTGTGAGCACTATGTCAGGAATATTGTTGGGGATGGGCCTGTCAGTTATGATTTTACGGTTCCAGTACAGCCTAGAGGTCTCCGTTTCTATCACAGGTGGCGGCGTGTATTTATAGTAGGGCTGTGTACCAGTTTCTCCTAGATGCTTTTTAGCCAAAGCTTGATAAAGTATTTTGGCCACATCATTGTGCCTTTCAAGATATTGTTTAGGAGCTAAGGGAGAGCACCCTGCTACAATATGATCTATGTGCTCATCTTTTTCCCCACATATGCGGCATCTGATATCGTCAACGTTCTCATGCATTATACGCTTTCGGTACAACTTTGTTGGGACTACCTGATCCTGGATGGAGGCTATGAAGCCCTCCGTCTCCAGGAACAGATTACCTGACTGCAACCATCCTTGGGAAGCCTTCGTGTCAATGGCGTTGTCTTCTATGCGGCTCCTATACCGACCATGTAGTGGTTTGGCTTTCCATTGGCGAACCAGATCCTGCATTGGGGTTATCTTTGCCTCAGGGTCGAAAGATTTTTCTGAAAGGTTTAGTGGTGTCAACTTTTTATCCGTCTGTGTTATTGCTTGATGCATTCTGCTGGATGTGGCTTTTTGGAGGAAGTACTGGCGTAGATTGTCCACTTGGCGGTGATGTAGTGTAGGTATGCAAGGTATTCCTCTGCCACCCTCACTTCGTGGTAGATGGAACCGCTCTATGGAACTATGTGGGTGGTGTCCCCGGTGTTTACGGAATTCTTTTCTGGTTTCCACATTAAGTGCGTTCAGTTCTGTATCCGTCCAGTTCAGTATGCCAAACGTATAGGTAAGGACCGAAGTAGCGTAGGTGCTGACAGCAAGTGCTGTATTACGAGCTGACAGACTTGTTTTCAGCACCGCCCTCAAACGTGTTCTATAGTGCTCCATTGCCTTTTCTTTTGCAGCTTTCTGGTCTATGCCCGGCGCTTGTAGATAGCCTAAGTATTTATACTGTTCATCTTGCTGCATTCCTTCAATTTTCCCTTGCACTTGGTTCGGCTCATATCCTGAATGTTTACTCCACTGGCCTTTTACCATGCAACTGATCTTGCACTTGTCTAAGCCAAACAGCATCTTGATGTCAGTGCTGAATTTACTTACACAGTCCAGAAGCTTATGAAGATGTTCTTTGGTTTCTGCAAAAAGTTTGAGGTCGTCCATGTACCAAAGATGTGAAATGCGTGTTTCATTGCCACCTAACAGTATTCCTTTCTTTTGGCTATTTAGCATTGTTGTTAACGGTCTAAGCGCTAAGCAGAACCATAGCGGACTTAAAGAGTCTCCTTGAAATATTCCTCTCTTGATGGATACCTCTCCGGCTCTGAATTGCGTATCTTGGGTGTTGAGATAGAGCCGTGTCTTCCAATTCGCCATAGCATGTGCCAGAAATTGTTTGATGTGGCACTCGATCCCATAAAGGTCAAGCACCTCTAACAGCCAAGAGTGAGGTATACTGTCAAACGCTTTCTGATAATCGATGTATGCAATGTACAGGGGTATTTTTTTCTTTTTGGCATAATTAGTTATGACAGAGTCTATAACAAGTTGCTCTTTACAGCCTCGAGACCCTTTTCGGCAACCTTTTTGCTCTTCGTCTAGTATAGTATTCCGCTCTAGGTGTGAATATATCTTTTCAGTAATTATAGCAGTCAATACCTTGTAAATAGTCGGCAGACAGGTGATTGGTCGGTATTTTGCCGGATCGTTCGAGTGATCGCCGCACTTTGGGATTAAATATGTTATTCCCATTGTTAAGAACTCTGGCAACATATCCGGTTGCTCTAAGATTGAGGTGTAACACTTTGCGAGTCGATCGTGAGCTGAAGTGAACGTTTTTAGCCAATAATTCTGAAGCTTATCTGATCCTGGGGCTTTCCAGTTTGGTAATTTTCGTAGAGTATTTACCACGTCATCTAAGCTTACTTTCCAGTCGAGCATGGTCCTAAAAGTTGAATTATTTGCTTCTCTTGGCGGTACCATTTAGATGTGGAATGATTGATTGGATTGCTCCAAATTCCTGACCAGAAGGTATTGATGGCATCTGAGGTAGGAATCTGAACGTTGTTCTGATCTGTATCCCTCCGTCGCGCCTGCAAGTTCCTGTAAAAGCCTCGCTGATTGGTCTCGAATGCTCGATTTTGTTTCCGGCGTTCGTTGCTTTTCTTGTACCTTTGAAGTCGCAGTGCTGTAGCTGCTAGTTTTTGCTTCAGGTAGTCCAAGACTTCTACGGCTGTTGGGTTCTCTTCCGAGCAGTGACGGTTTATCACATTTTCTGCGGATCTCTTTACTCTCAGACTACAGTCAGACCTGCGGTACTGGGTGAGTATTGCTATGTCCTTTCTAATCTCCTCTATATTACGCGATATCCTCATCTCCCAGGCTGGCAGTTTTCTGTTTTTCCTTACACATTGTTCGCCAACTCTCTGTTCATTTAATTTTAGGACTGTAAGTGCTCCAATGTACAACAGGCTATGGAGCTCAGTCAAGGTTGTATCTTCTGTAATCTCGTTATCTATTACTTTGTTAACTTCAGCGATATACTCAGATGTATGGGGTTTTATTATTAGCTTTGGTAGGCTTGGTTTAATAGTTGGTTCCACACCATCATACTTCATGAACAAGCCCCTGAACTCATCTGCGTATTTAGATGGTTGGCCATCGTTTATCTCAATTTGTTCTTGGTTTTCTGTGTGCTCTTGCGGAGCTTGTATCTGCATTCCTAATTCTATGGATATCTCTTCTCTTATTTTGTTTATCTCCTCTGCCGGCAATCTGTTGTTTATGAATACGGATCGGCGCTGGTCTAGTACGTTTTGCACAGTTTTGCCTTGCAGGTGAGGGAAGTTCATGATAACTTGTCTGTGTAGTTCAGTACCATAGGGCTCTGTAGATGTTTCTAGTTTAGTTATTCTGTAGTAGGAGCGAACCACAAATCTGTTCATTTCAGTGGTCCACGTGGTTCTTTTTCTCCTCCTATTGTCTGGCATTATGGGCTGGGGCTCTTGGCTTCCAGCAACATGATTGCCATCTTCGACCCCAGGAAGCTGTTGGATGGGGTCATTCGAGTTACTTCTCACACTATCTGTGGGGGGCTTTCGCTGGATGACGACCGGGTGCGACCTTCCCCTACGCTCCCTGCCGGACGCGGACCTCGTCGCATAGCGTCGAGTCCCGATTACGTCGTTACATTCCGAGGCTTCATTTGTTTTTTCTCCATTTTCTGGGTAATTGTGTTCTCTTTTGATAGGTAGGTATAATTGTTTACCTAAAAGTGTTTATTAAACTCAGGCGTGGAAGAGAGACAAAAAACCCACGCCTGGATGAACAGGAGGTGGTGCTGGCCGTACTGACTTTCCTTCGGTGTTAATAACAGTAGCTCAACCACTTGGTCGAGGCCAGACGTTGCGTTGCTGGCTTTTACCGTCTTACGTCGTTACGTAGCGGGTTTTGAAACTGCTGGCGGCAGTCCCCTTACCGGCCAGACCTTTTATTATTATTATTATTATTATTATATATTATTATTATTATTATTATTATTATTATTATTATTATTATATTATTATTATTATTATTATTATTATTATATTTATTATTATTATTATTATTATTATTATTATTATTATTATTATTATTATTATTATTATTATTATTATATTATTATTATTATTATATATTATATTATTATTATTATATTATTATTATATTATTATTATTATTATATTATTATTATTATTATTATTATTATTATATTATTATTATTATTATTATTATTATTATTTTATTATTATATATTATTATTATTATTATTATTATTATTATTATTATTATTATTATTATTATTATTATTATTATTATTATTATTATTATTATTATATATTATTATTATTATTATTATTATTATTATTATTTGTTTATTTCCACAGCCCTATCTATTCAACTGGTTCTGTCCATGTGGGCCGGTTTTGGTTGGTCATTTTCATTATGGTACTTCGAAGATGTTACCCACATCCTAACGAAGTCCATTACCTTATAGTGTCTTACGTAATATGGTTGCTGTACCATACAAAGCAATTTCCTGCACGTCTGCTGTCCTGTGCCTTCCTGGTATGAGATTTAGGTTTTCATGTAGATTGTCTGGGATCGTCCCTAATGCACCTAAAATTACGGGAACTATCTTCGTCCTCAGATTCCACATTCTTTGGATTTCAATTGAGAGATCTTTGTATTTCAATTTCTTTTCAGCTTCTTTGTTTACAACGTTTTCATCGTTGGGGACTGAAACATCTATTAGCAGGCAGGTTTGTCACGTTGGTTTTTGACGATTATGTCTGGGCGGTTCGCGGATATTTCACGATCTGTTTGCACTGGTAAGTCATATATTATGGTAATCTCATCTTTACTAACTACTGGAGTGGGATTGTGATTATACCATTTTTCTTCCACTGCGATCCCAAAGCTTATACAGATGGCATGATGCAAGTATATGCATATTTTATTATGTCGGACCAAGTACTCGTGCTTCGCCAGTTGAGGACAGCCGGATATAAGATGATCTATTGTTTCTGAGTATTGTTTGCACATTCGACATCTATCATTTGCTGTTATTTTGAGGATATGTTTCTCATAATGTCTTGTACGTAGGCCTGGTCTTGGGCGGCCGTTATCAGGGCCTCTGTTTCACCTTTTACCTTCCCTCTCGTGAGCCACGCAAACGTTTGGCATTCATTAATCTCTGGCCTCTTAATTCTCTTCACGTATTGACCATGAAGCTGCTTTCGTATCCATTTATCCTTCAAGGTCTTCCTTGTCATGGCCTTAATATCTGTAGACAGTAATTCTTCTTCATCCTCGACCGCTTGATTTTCTATTTCCGGTAAATGTGTCTTTACAATTTTTATCGCTGACTTGACTACTGACTTTCCAACGCGAGGGTGCCTTTCACATCTCCAAATTTGTCTAACTAACTTATCATTTCTACGGCTTCTTAAATAATTGGCTATGGATACAACTGTATTATCATAAGTCATCTCTAATTGCCTGAGTCCTCTACCTCCTTCTTTACGACTCACATATAGCCTGTCTACATCAGTTCTAGGATGCAGCTGTCCATGAATAGTAAGCATCTTCCTTGTTTTACGATCTAGGTCTGCAATTTCCTTCTGACTCCAATCTATGATTCCAAAACTGTATTCTACTATTGGAACAGCTATACTGTTGATGGCTAGCAGTTTATTTCGTGCTGTTAAGTCTGAACGTAGTACCATCCTAAGCCTTCTTAGATATTCTTTACTGATGGTCTCTTTCATTTCATCATTACACAATTCTGGGTTTTCATAAACTCCAAGATATTTATAGCTTTCTCCAGCATCTAGGTTTTTGATGGTAATATTTGCCTGGACTGTTATGTTTTCCGTTTTTTCCACTTTTCCGTTCTTTATTGTCGCTTTGGCGCACTTATCTAATCCGAAGTTCATATGAATTGTGCTACTGAAGTCGTGAACTA